TCGCGATTCCCAACGTTTTAGCGATGGAACGATGCGAGAGATCCTTGTTCTCGTGATGAATGCGCAAGATTTTATCACGCACGAGCTGTTCTTTCGACTCCATTTCCGTTTTGATCACAGGACTTTAAAACTTGCAGGATGTAAATAATGCACTATGAACTAAATCCACCCAAATTTTCATTAAATTCTACCCAACGGTTAAACAGTTAGAGCAATTTCAAAGTGTGGCAATTTCATCGTGGACACCCTTTATGTACTCAAGTACTTTGTCAAATGGCTTTGAAAGTCTCCCAGAAATTGTTGTTCTTCTCGCATAATTCCTTTTAGATTTCTTAAAATTGAATTAAAATGAATCTCTCTAGAAACATTGGACAGAATTCAATTGAAATTATTCTAACGATTTGCATCAGCATACTCATTGAATTCCTCCCAGCAATTCTTTGAATTGGTCATCAACGTTCCATAAGTTTCATCTTAAGAATTTTCTATGATTTCTCTTCCACAAGGAATGCACCTCACGCTATACTGTCAACTATTTTCAGAATTACTTTAAAACTATGAAATTCTAGGGAAATTCAGAATTCTAAAGCATTTCGGACTGCTAAGGTAACTCAATATTCACAGGTTCTTCAAAAATGCTAAGAATTGTTAGATGCCTTTTAAATTCTTAAATTAAATCCTCGAAAATCTCAAGAACATACTTTAAAGTCCTGGTAGTTGTCTAGATTCAAAAGCCTTACTCATTTTCGAAAACTCAATTTATTGTTTTCAACCATGAACAGCGATTTCTGTAAATTGCAAAGTTATAAAAATTCCTCCATATTGAAATCTTGATTTTTCTAAATCCAGGCAAAAATCAAAACTAAAACTCCAACTACAAAAATTCAGGCCCGATATTTTTAAGTTTGAAGGGTTTTTTTTAGCCAATAATCGTTAGGGATTGTCTCAATTATTTGCATGTTTCTGCAACCCATTTTCATGCAAACAATGTTGTAACAGTTTCATGTACGTTGTTGCAATAATTTACAACGTTGATGGCCTTTAATAATTAAAGTAGAAAGCAATATGTTTAAGAAATCTGGGAAAATCTGGAACATATTTAAAAAAAAAAACCTCGAAATATACATGGTCTGTCTGTGTATCTGGTAAGATGACTGAAGATCTGAAAAATCCAGATAAATCTGGAATACTGCCAACGCTGCTTAGAAATACCTACTTTTACAGACATAATCCATATTGGACGTAAATCATGGGACGTAAACAAACATTTTCATGTAAAATTAAGTGTTCTCAAACCGAAACACAAGCAAATTGACGAAGAGAACGTTCGACTGAATTGATTTTCTCGTTTCTTTGAACTGATTTTTATGTCAAAAGGGCCGCTTACATGTGTCGGACTCATGGAACTGAAATTCACAGGACTTTTTCGTAGTGTGTGTGTATTAATGAACTCCTGAAAGCGTCCTGTATAGCCAAATTTGACGTTTGTTTCATCGTCCACGATAACACACGCCAATTTTCCTCACAGCAGGCTATCATATAGCTTCCGAGTGAACTAGAACAAAGCAGCATTTTATCCTTCGATTGTCGGTTATTTAGAATTTTGACGTGCATAATCGTAGCGACCAAGTCAGATTTACATTCACTGCACAATAGTTCCAAAGTCGTATTTAGGAAGACAAAAATGTTAAAAAAGGTAGAGTCTTCGGGAAAGTTTTAGGGTCCGTGTGGTCCCTATGGTTATTGAGTTCAAAAAAATCACGACATCGCGACATCAAATGTTCGATTTTCTAGAAATAAATGTGTAAATATTGAATGTAAAAAACCTGATTTTTTAGGGGTCCTCCTAAGTCATCTTTTAAAAACCAGTATAAAATGAGAACCATTAGAGATTCAGTAAAGTTGCTTGATATAAATTGTTCTAAAACTGTATAGTACATTGCGCTGGTATATCTCAAATAACTAAATCGTTGATATTTAGAACTCGATAATCATAGGGACCACCCTAATTTCAATAGTGTATATAAAGGGCGAACACGAAATTATTGCGACACCGAAAATGTCATGCCAATTTTCTTATAATGTTTAGAATCAAACCAAAAGTTTAGGGTAGTTTTATACATATATTTACTTCAAAAATCAAAAGAAAAGTTAATCGATGAGCCTTGAGTGTAAAATTGAACGCATTTTCGCTTGATGCCCTCCATCAAAGTCTTTACAGTGTCATCCGGTACCAGTTTCTCAGTTTTTTTTTTCCATTTTCTTAACATGTCCTTCTCGTCTTTGACTGTCTTCTTGCTCTTCCGAAGTTCCCACTTCATTATTGCCCAGTACTGCTCCACCGGGCGCAGCTCCGGACAGTTTGGCGGATTCATGTCCTTTGGAACAAAATGGACAGAATTGGCCTCATACCACTCCAGGACACTTTTAGAATAGTGGCATGATGCCAAAAGGCGCTTCTCGAGGCACTCAGATTTGTAGATCTCGCCATTTACTGTACCCTTTGTCACGAAAGGCTCACTCCTCAGTCCGCAAGAGCCTGCCAAATGAGATATTAGGAGGCGAACTTCGACATTTTCTTCTTCTTAAATTTGTCGTCCACATCGAACTTGCTCTTGTCGGTGAAAAACTCTAACCCCGGAATTTGCTTAAAATCGGCTTTTGTGTACGTTTCGTCGTCCATCACATAGCAGCCATATTTTGTCAGCATCTTCTCGTAGAGCTTCCGTGCCCGAGTTTTAGCCGTCGATTGTTGCCGCTCATCGCGGTTTGGGAAGTTCTGTACCTTGTATGTATGTAGTCCAGCTCTCTTCTTTGCATTCTGGACGTAACTCTGCGACATGCCGATCTTTTTAGCCAAATCACGGCTTGAGACGTTGGGATTTGCTTTAATCATCCGCTTCACCTTTCTCTCCGTCTTTTTGTTCTCCGGTCCCGGTTTTCTTCGAGCTCCTTTGCCGTGGTCCAACGTCAACCGCTCCTGGAACCGCTTCAACACTCTGGAGACGGTTGAATGGTGAATGTTCAACATTTTTCCCAACTGCCGGTGCGACAGGTCAGGAAATTCCAGGTGTTTGGAAAGAATTTGTTCTCTCAACTCGCGTTGGTTCACCTCCATTTTCGTTGAATCGAAAAACACGACTTCGAGTTTGACAGCATGTACACAATACACATCAATGAGAAAGTGTGCAAAATTTGGTTGACTTTTACCCAATGGTAAAAAAGTTATGCCCTGTTGAATGTGTCGCAATAATTTCGTGTTCGCCCTTTATGTATGGAAGGTAGCCACCAAACCTTCGACGTTCTTGTCTTGTATGCAGCTCAACCTAATAGCAAGATCAATTTGAGCTACCGATCTGAATTCACAATAACGCTGTATGAAGGGCAAAAACGGAGGGGTGAACCCGTAAGTTGAGGCATTTACATGAAAACAACGGGAATTTGAGAATCTCCTTCCAACGATACGATCCAACAAATCGAATAACGCAATTCGCAATACTTATTAAGCTTCCTATAGGATGATTTGTTCGGGACCACCCTAATTTCACTCGTGTAAGAAAAATAGCCGGTCATTTTTTAAAAACTTTCTCGTGAACTCCATAAACCTAAAACTAACGGTTCGTACGTTGTGAAAGGCACTTTCGTTGTTGTTGCATACAAATTTAGAGCTATAATAAATTAAACTGAATATATAAATCATATTGCTGTAAGAGAAAAATATAACTAACACACATTTGTTTCAGATTTTTAAAGTTCGTTATTTGTTTTTCCCATACTCGCCAGCATATCTTTGCAATGATGATCGATCATATATGTGAAAATTGTACGACTTAAAAACAATAGTACAGAAGTTAGCAAGAATTTAAAAAATCTAAATATAGCTTCATTGGTTTCAGACAATTAACATCGTTCAGGGAAAAAAAAATCTAAAATTGAAGTACGGACAAAGGTAGATGAAAAACTGGATTGAAAAATATCCTATGAAAAATTCTTCGTGTAGTGTGCCTCTAATCCAATTAGTGTCGTGTAATTCGGTGAGATGTGTCTTAATCGTAAACCATTCCAAGACTGAACTTGTTTACCTACAATAATTACTGTGAAGTGGTGAAAGAGAGTACTTAAAAACAGTTGCAGTATTTTTTTTTTTTGAAATTGTCAAGTCACCAGGTACAGGCATGCGCATACAAGCAATAGCTGCGAGCAAAGATGCTTCAGCTTGGGGCTCGGTCTGTGCCCGGAAGCAGCTCTACGGAGACCGCAGACCAGACCCGGGGTGAGCGCGATGAGCGTGAGCGTGATCGAAAGGTGCGTGATCGGAAAAAAGAAGAAATCGTTTGATCAAACCTCGTTCGGTTGGTCGCGAAGGGAGACACACTGTAACTGAGTTCTGAACCGATCGATCCTTCGATCCCCTTACCTGTTCGATCTCAAAGCTCTCGTTAGGGTGCGCGTGGAGGAATCACATTCGTGGGTTTTCTGTACCACGTCGGGGGTGCTACAGGGAAGAATTTCAGCGTCTATTGTGTCTGTTTTGTTTTCAGTGGTGTAGGTTTTCTCCTCTAGATTGTAATCGGAGAAGCTGCTATACGGCCAGGATCTGAAATATTGTTTTAGGGAATACAGGGGGGGAATTTATCTTAGCAACAATTAGAAATTTCGTAAGTGAGTGGATTGTGTCCCTCGTGAAAAAGAGGGGGGGGGGGGGGGAAGAAATTGAATCGAAAAATGTGAGTGATTCGAATGTGGAAAGGTGGGTGACAAAACACGGCAGACATTCCAACTTGCAAATGGGTGTCGTTTTGGATTCCCCAAAATCGCTCCAATGGGTAGATTTCAAACGAAAAAACAAATTTCGAACTCGTCAAAGGCAAACCATACAGAATAATAGTTGATGTGAATTTTGTACCATGCTTGATCGATCTGAACTGAAGATTGCATTTAAAATTCATTCTCGCCTACAAATCCTAAGAAGGCAAAAGAAAAGCCATTCCAATACTTACTTCGTCACTCGGGCCGGTTCCGGATCATCATCCGCTTCCGGTTCTGCTTCCACCTCGTCGCTGGGTGCTTCCGTTACTGAGCTGTTTTGGCTGACGAATGCACCCCGGTTCGGATCGTTTCTTCGTGTCCGCGATGGCGTACCTGTTAAGAGTTAGTTAGATAAATATTATTCTATGTCCGGAAACTCGCTGATGGATGCGATCCATAATTGATTGCTTTGGAAAATTTCCCACCCAGCTAGCTAATGGGGGTCAAAGAGGAATGCCAGCAGCAGCTGAGCAAAGTTGGTCGATTGGCTTTTTGTAATTTATGCTTCCTTGCTCCGGAGGAAATCAGGCAAACAGGATCGATTACACGGTCCAACGGAAATCGCTATCCCGTGTTGGCGGGAATGTTATTCGAAGCGTAGAAGAAATGTGGGAAAAATGAAAAACTAACTGGAATTCCTCGCGTGCCTTCCGGAGATTCATTACCGCGGTCTGCTTTTGTTGAACCTATATATTTGAACCGGATATGTGTGTACATGTATACAACCGTTTCTCCATTTCCGTTTACACACTCACACAGCGACATGAAATGACAAACATTTTCCTTCTCTAACACCAGATCGCAGATGGTTGATAACAGACATGCATGCTTTATTTGGATGGTATTTATAGACTAGGACATCATACCTTCACTCCACCTGGTATGAAATTCGTTCCCCATTATGTTATGGAAGGTAACATTAAAATAACTGTACTGCAACCATGACAGTAGCGGAGCATTTCGAAAATAAAAAAAACACGGAGAATTCCTCCCAACCACTTAGTGAGGCACCGCAAATCGTTAGTTTCGTAGGAAAATCATATAAATTATCCGCAAAGCTTGAACCACTATTTTGCGTGTGAGCCTTCCGTGACTTGCCGTATAGTCATTTTGATCACTCCCATACTGGTATATCTGAGTTGGATATTTTTTTTTTTATTGGTGGGTCGAATAATCACTCTGATAAACGATTCACGAACAGTACATAGTCTATTTCATTCAAACGCCCTCTTCTCTACTGAACTTGAAGTTATGGGCTATTGGTAGCTGTCGGATAGACTGGTTTAGGGCTTCTATTGGAATATAGATAATATATAAACTTGTTTGCAGTCTGCTGTAAATAACACAAGACTTTTTTCCTTTAGCGTCATCGGCAACCCTGAGGCAACTCAGGAAGGTCCGAATTGTAAATTGTTACACAATATCGGCCCACGAATACTACCCGGAGGTACTCCAGGTTTAACTTCAAATAATTTTGAACTAAATAAATATGCTACGTTATTTATGGATGGTCCCAAAGTAGAAAATTAATCTTTATAATTCATTCATAAATTAGGTACACTTTCACGCTGAACGTCATCCTAATTTTGCAGACATTATTTTGGCCATCATGGGCACCAACCATAGCTCATAGTGCAGACAGAATTTGTACCACAGTCTAGACCCGGGTTTCCTAAAGCCCTCGAGTTAAAGTATGGACGACTGTCTTATCTTATCTTATCTTATCTAATACAAACGCAGCCAGTACGAGAAAGCATCCTGGAAAATGATTGGGTTAGATAAGACCAAATCATTTTTCTTGTCAACATTCATGTTTGCAGCATACCTGAGATATGACACAAACATCAAAACGGCCAGGCCTACTGCGTTGCATTTGCCGCAAAGATGATTCTGTGAAAACATTCGAGTTTAAATAAACCGTGGAGGTACCATATTCGAAGCAGTTCCTAAATCGACGCAATCAATAATGTTCGACTATTTTCAATAATTATTTTTGATATGTTACTTCTGCAAATATAAGTTACAGTGCTCTAGGGACGATGGTGTAACAAGGTTTTAACAAATCCTTGTCAAAATCGAGATGCGATCAAAAATATATGAGTGCGTCATCATTACACGAAACGAAAATTAATTATTTAATTCATGTGTTTCACTTATACATTTTTGCCATAGCATCAGCCTTATACATTCCATTAGACAAACCACATAGGTCATATTACAATACATAAAAGGTATGTGTGACCATTTATACATTTCATTTGACACATGATCTTTATTAAATTTTTGCAAGGCGTCTGCGTTGACTTATACATTTTATGAATAATCAGCAATGGAAATTTGCCAAAAGGTATAAGGAGATTTCTATTCGTGTAGGAACGTGTCAAATATGGTGCTGACACGGTATATTTTAACAGCGATACATTTCGTGAATCTTAAGGGGTGGAAGGATGCGTGGACATACCGTACAAAACGCTCCGAGTTAGGTTAAGAGTGAATGTAACAGTAATATGTAATGTAACGAATGGTATATAAAATATAGTGTTATGAAAGGATCTCCCCAAATGCCTCCAATGTTAACCAAATTCCCGATTTATATTTGACGTTTGTCAGCTGTAAGCTTCTGGCACTTGAAACACTTGAATGAAGTCCTTCCTCAGCAACATGATCGCAACGAACGATGGGACGTTGAGGGTTTGGTGGCTTGACAGCGGCTCCAGGAACGAGCTGGGGGATATCGTAGAGACGTAGAGCTTGTAGGTTCTGCACACTGTCGATGTACGTGCACTCGCTGAGTTCCGAATGGATGATCTTCCGTAACTGATGATTGGCCATTTGTACCAGGAATTGAGCTGCTCGTGCAAATTACATCTTGAATCTAGGCGTTGATGGCAACCCAGAATCGGGCAATCGAATCCAGGTCCATATCTATGGTAGTTGATGACCGGATCAGCACCGAACACGGAACAGCACTATTACATTTTAACAGATAATCACAGGTAATCACTGGCAATTCAAATCGCGGAAAATGTGCTCCAATTACGGAATTTTTTTTTCAAATTTTGAAACGTGGCAAAGAAAACAAACGTCACGTCCGTACGCCTTAAAGTATGGACGACTGTCACCACAAAACTGAAAAAAGCCGTTCCAAGTTCCAATCAAGCAAAGCGGTGCATTGTGACGGCTCGATTGGAACAACTTTTAACAGACCTCCGTACTTTTACTGTAGGGTTTTAGGGTTTCCCAACCGGTGGTTCGCGGCCGACAGGGGGCCACGAAGTCTTTTCAGGGGAGCCGCTAGGGTCTTGGTTTGTTTGGTCTAAAAAAAATATGCTATAAGTGACAATATCATGGCTAAAATCAAAACATTTTTTGAATCGGGTGGCTTACAATGGGAAAAACTACAAGGGACAGCCCTACGGGGTTTTACGCAATGGTGACGTAGGACTACGTGGTCTTATATAATAAATCTTATTTGTTAACTGCAGCAGGAGCTTGTGTTTTGTGTAGGAATTTTAGCGGGGTTCTCTCTGTTTATACTCTTTAGTATGACGCGCTTGACATAGATAGCCCACAGCGACTCACGAAGAGCTACTGATTCAAATCAATAGCGGTGCTGCTTCTTCCTCCGTCTATGGATGCTCATGTAGGCTGCAGCTCGCTGCTTTCAGGCAGCCTTTCGTTGTTTACTGGAGAACAATGTTCAACGTACTGCTGCTGGACACCACCACACACAGTGATTGGAACTGAATCCGATCAGCCGTTGAGACCAGCCTTGATACCTAGCTGCTAGCGGGGAGCCTTTTGCTGTTCACTGGAGAACACCACCACTTACCACACGGTGGATGAATAAACACCGTTTGGTGTGATCGGATGAAATTAAACTTTGAAATCTGTGTTAGGGAAATCTGTTTTTCGCAGGCAAACGGTGATAATTTAATTATCATTGTAACAGTTGCACATTTATGCAACTTTCAATGGTGAAATTTTTAAATATGATAAAGCCGTAAATTTAACATATGCGTAGAAATATTTCTGATCAATTGGTGATAAAATTATTGAAATTGGTCCAGGGGCAGCTGAGTTATTAACGTTCAAAATCTTTCATAAATTTGTTACATGTTCCATTTTCGGTTTTCACAAAGTGTACCCCCATATAGAAATCACAGACGTAGTTTTACATCAAAAGTAAGTGGAGTTAATACCGATGGCACTCTAGCAATGCTTGGTAACAAATCAAGATTTCAGAAAGAGATTATAGAGCTTGCTCCATATGCCACAGGTGTTCGATATGCCCTTGTCAGTAAGAGCAAGACTCTGCCGGAACTAATGTTAAAAGTACTTGATTCCGTTATCAAAATTATTAACTATGTCAAATCTGGAGCTCTGAACACTCGTTTATTTCGTCTTCTTTGTTCCAAGGTGTGATGATCTCGAATACTTTGGAGCAGCAACATGTGATGCCTCTGTAATTCTGAACATTCCTTTTATCACCTTTCTTGTGGACGGGGAATTTCCACGCCTCAGGAAATTTACTCTCCTGTAGTGACAGATGAAGTAACTTCACCAAGGGAGTGAGCAACGACTCCGAACACCGCTTCAGAAATGCCGTCTGGCCCGGCAGTAAACGAGAGTTTCAACCTTTAAAGAGCTAGATTGACTGATTCACTGATGTGAAACGGACGGAGCTCAAATGCATCTGTTGGAGAATCGGTTATAGCAATCGTGACTTGATTTGGTAAGGCCGAAGATTCCTTGAACGAACTCATGAAATGTTGAGAAAAAAGGGGGCATTTCTCCGGTTCAGATTCAACGGTTTGCTCACCGAGATGTTGCCATGTTCCATAGAATCTGAAGTATGACAGATAAAAAGGCGAACGAGCTAAACTCGGATCTTTAATCAAAAATTATTGCTCATTTTCACTCACTGGATTATCAATGTGAGCTCTATTTCCTTGAGCTGATACAAGAAGATGCTGATATAGTGCGTAATCCGTTTTCTTCCTCAATAGATGTGGAACACTTGATGAAACACAGGATGAATATTTGGACCTGAGAAATGATTTCTCATCTCGTGATTTGTTCCGTGAAAAAAATGAAACAGTGGTTCTGGTGTGCCTTGTCGTATCCTAAAGTCTCCTGGCAGGCATTGAATATCCTAGTCCTATTTGAATCTACGTACGTAGCCTAGTCAGTAAAGGCACGGTATTACCAAGCCGGAGGCGGCGGGTTCGATTCCCGGTCCGGTCGAGGGAATCTTTCAGGTTGGAAATTTTTTCGACTTCCCTGGGCATAGAGTATCATTGTGCTTGCCACACAATATACAAATTCATGAA